TTTGATTTTCTGAGTCTTTTCTGGACCTGTGCAGCCTTTAAAGCAGTTGAGAGCGAACCTTTTACCACATGCTTGCTCAGAATGATTGTTTCTAGGAAAGTTATCTACTTAATGCTAATTAGTTGTCCACTTTTCCCAAATACTAGTTTGGAAAGAGGTGGAGGCAGCAAAGCAAATGACTAAATGCAAATGAATATGGCTTCAAAAGGCCTGGCACATTCAGTACAATTTCTAAATCTGTACAAAATTTGATAGGTTGGAACTGTGCCTTTAACACTTGTCACATTGCATGAAGGACAATGCATAACTTATCACTGCAGGAATGTCTGATTTCTTTTCATCTATTTTGGCAAAAATAAAATTGCCTGCTTTTTTTTGTTGTTTCTGGATCCCTTGAGAATATTTTTTTTGTCAATGGCAACCGATTCTGTTCTTACTGAGGTCCTGATGTGGACATTAAATTATATCTAATGAAAATAAATCTAACTTCTTTCTAATCTAAAGTATACCAAAGCTATTTATTCAACTACTTTTAAAATAAAGAAAACTCAGCAACAACACCTGCACATTTTTTTAATACTTATGGAGAATCAGGCTTAAAAATCTCGGAGTAACAACAGCTTAGGCAGAGAAAACAGAAATTTGCTTACACAATCTGTTGTGACAGTTGTACAACTCATGTCTGCCACTGCGGCTGCTAATTCTGTTACACTAGCAGCTTTTCTATCACAGCTTGTAGCTAAGTTAATCAAACTTCAGATTCTTAAGATCATAGACAAGGTATCGACTTCAATATCACAAGAGGGGCTATCAAATTTTTTTTCTTTTTGTTTTTTGATGATTCAGATTAAACTACTACACAACCAGCCACCTGTTGTTATCACATTCATTTTGCTTCACAAACAGTAAATCATGTAATTCAAGTTTAACAAAAATCTGTGAAATCTCGACAGAATGCTCTTTTCTTTTGTGTTTTGAGACTTTACTCAAAGCCTAAATAGAGGAAGCATTAAATCAAGAAATCATCCTCTCTGTCTGGATTTACAAGGATTTTCTACTGTTATTTTTACCTAAATATTAACTCAAACTAACTGAAAGCAAATACATAAAGTAATTCCACTCCTGACTCTGCATTTTAAAGAGAAAGAGGGCGCCATTCAATTACACTCTAGAATAAGATCAAAACTTGGCTGTGTGTACATTTATAAATATATCCCCTCAATCGATAAAGAATGAATCTCCCAAGAGGATGGAGTAAGAAGAAAGCAAAATAAATAGACAACTAACCACCCACTGGAACTAATTACAATTTGGCCCTAGCAAAACACCAACACCAGTCCCACCAGTGCTTTTCTCTTAAAAAGAAGCGTGTAGGCTGAAGCTGTATTATTTTCTCTCCACAGGTTATGGAACACATGAATAAATCTCCCTGAACGGGGCTTGTGGTTATGGTTTGTTCTGGTTCTCATAGTTGCAGCAATCTAATAGCCAAGCCACAGCTATGGAGGGAAAGTCGAGATTAGAACACACATCTGGATAAGCTGTTACTGAGAAAAAAAACAAGAAAAGAGCCCTTCTCAAAACACAGCGGCCTGCCTTTTCTCCGTGCCACTGAGTCTCAGTAACATGCAGAATGAGTCAGCAGTGGCAGCCTGCCTTAAGTGTCTTTGAGGGGCTCCCTAGGGAACAGGAGTGGCATAGGGAGGAAGAACATTTACATAGCTGTACAAGCTTAATGGTTGCAATTGTGATGTTTTTCAAAATTATATTATGGAATTTGCACTTAATATGAATATTAAATGTTGCTGTTCAATAAAACCAACCCAGCTATTATTGCTCTGAGGAGTTACAGTTCTGGGAAAAAAAAGATCCTAAAGGTTCTCTTTTTGTGAATCTTATCCTATCTGATATCTATTTTTTTTTCTAAGTCAGCTTAGCAATGTTTCACCTAAGAAGTTACCATAAAAAATATTAAACAGTGTCACTTTTTTCAGAAATTGTGCAGAAAGAAAGACTACTGTTCTTATTTATTGTGCCCCCATCCTCTCTACTCGCTTTCCTATACCCTCCTCCCTCTTCTAAGAGCTTAAATCATTAAAATATCTGCATACTACAACTCTGCAATATTTCTCATCGATATTAAATCTGTTTTGTGAAGTGATATTCAGCTTTGATTGGTAAATGATGCTGTCTAGTAATGTAAAATTAAAGCTAATATCTTCCTTCTAAAGGAAGGTGAGTCAATTAAGCTTGAGGACCTCTTATGATTAAGTTATAGACTTATTTCAAAGGTTCAATAGTTTGTCAGAAAGCTTGATTGGCTAAAAACTGACCAATGTTGCAGCATTTAAAGGCCGCAAAGAGACAGCTAGGCAATAAACATTGTCAGCGCTGTATGAACACTTTTTTCTATCACTAAATGGCTATTTCAGTTATTAAATGACTCTTCATTGCATTTAAACACATTAAGAATTGTGAGACTGATCAAACTTGTTCAACTCTAAAAATAATTTTTTTTAATTCTCAAAAAAGATTAAGGGAGGTTTTGTTTCATGTACAAAAACTAAGCTTTAGGACCACAGTACAATTAAGAAGGATAAAAAATTCAGTACATGGATCAGTAAGAGCTAGAAAGGAATATAAGTGCTCTGCATTAATCTTGCAACGTATTTAAGAAGATGTGGATTAAAAGTTAGAGATTAAAAGATAAAATTTTCTACCATTTCATATTCCTGACCTCAATATGGTAAGAAGAGTGTTAATGTTGCATTCAGTCAGTAGTGATATCTCTGTTTGTTACTTGTGATGTAACTCTGGTAACTTATAAATCAGCCATCGTATTACTCCCAGGAGCAAACCTGCAGAAAGCTGTTTACTATACCCTATACAGTACATACTAATTGTCTTAAGCCAAGTTTCCATCCATTTCTCATGTAGATTTAGGCAAACTTTTAAAACATATAAAAAAAGAAATGCAAATAAGACATGTCTCCATCCATTGGAGCAAATAAACTAGATGGTGCAAAGCATAATATCTTGATACTTGGACATCACACTTGGCAGCAAAAAAACAAAAATGCAAGCTAGAGGACCACAGATCAGTAATAGAATAGGTTTGTGTTGCAGTAAGGTAAGTTCTACTGACTTCATCCTGTCAGCTTGTATTAGTGATGGTGCATGCCATCAAGAGATGTAATGAGTGTGAATTTAACCCCTCGGTTTCCCTGGATGTGACCGCTTCTCGCAGGCGCCCTTTTTCACCAGGAGTGTTTTTAGCCTAGAAAAACTTTGCATGGTTCAACTCAGATCACATAAGAACTGCATCACCGTCCTTAAGTAGTGTACTTGAAGGCTTTAAACAGAGCAATAAGTCTGGAAAGTGGTTATTTTCCCAGTACTACCACCAGCATCTTGTGTACCTGTTCTTATCTAATCACCTTACTTTATTTTCCTTGCATTTCTCATTGGTAATTGAGTACAAATATTTCAGGTTTTTTTTTATTCTTTAATTTAAAGGTCAAATTTATCACGACTGCTAAGGAGAAATCTAGAAAATGCAAACCGCAGTCTGTCAGTGTAGTCTTAAACTTTTAAATTCGACCAAAAACACTTTGCTGTACATCAGCTGTTCCTGCCCAAAAAGGACACTTTAAACCCAACAGTGTGTTACAAGTACATAGGCAGTTAAAGCTATGATGGTGACTCCTACCTTTTTCTATCAGTAAAAAAATTATAAAAACTTGCTTAAAAAACTTTTTTCAGAGATACAAATATAAAATCCAACTAAACATATTATTTTTTTATTACCATATGTTTTGTTATTCACACACCAGTTGTTATCATAGCTCTTTATTTTACATAAAGAAACTGAACATTAATACTGGATGCAGACATTTTCAAATACTACCAGAAAAAATTATATCGGTCTAACTTGCTGTTTATACTACACATTCAGTGTGTTCCACTGACTATCAGGGTGAGGGCTTTTACAGCCATCACACAGCAACTGGAAGGTAATCGTTGAAAAAGCATCATAACGAGGAAGGCGTTTTGTCCACAAAACAGAACTGACGGGCTCAAATCAAAGCATCAAGAAAATTGTTCTGAAATTACTGTTGCTTATTTGCATGCATTAAACCAGGGTCAAGAAAGTCACATGTGAAGAGGGGGAACAGCCCAGCGGCTTGAATACATTAAAGCAGACTAAATGGTTTGTTGATTTAAAGAGATTAAAGCGCACACAGGAAAGCCTGCTAGATGGATTTTAATTAACTTGCCATATATAAATTGTATGTTATCTGGCATTACTGAATTAAATGCTAAATACAAGGGCTCTTTCTGCTTGGGTGAGTGGAATAAAAGGCTACTTAGAATCTTGATTGGATCTTACACACGCATGATGCTGCATCTACGGGTGCCCTGAACACATTCCGTTATGCCGACCCCCTGAATAGCCATCCAAAGAGTCTCTTTAATTATGTACAATACAGCCAAGTTGGAGTCCCCTGGCACCCTGGATGATCAAGCAAAGGAATGCCATGCTCTCTCTTTCAGAGTCATCTGGCCAAATGGATTCCACTTCAAAGAGTCATTTCTGTCCGTTACAATAAGATGCTAATACATAACGTGGCACACGCTGAAATGCAAACTATTCGCTGAGTTCTTTGCAAGGATTTGCATGGCAATTACAATTCTTTCCACCAGAGCTTTGATGAGTTCTTCCATCTGTAAAGTACCCCGGGAACAATTTCATAAATCTGCCATATAATATGGATGATTTAGGTTAATGCTTAACTTTGCATCTTATAAAACTGCTGTTCAAAAGCTGTAAATGTTAGACTAGATAAGGCACAGCAATGTTACACTCCACAGACTATAGTTAATATACTCCTGGATTATTTTAATTACAAAATGAAAAAAAAATCTTAGTAATAAAAATAACAAGAGGCAGTGTCCATTTAGCCATCTGAGAGGGGAAAATATGCTGAACAGCTTCCTACCATTTTCTGTGTTCTCGTGTTCAGTGTCGGTGAGCGTTAGGTTGGAGTTAGCCCTGCTGGAGAGACAGGAGCTGCGGCCCGACTTGGTGTTGCTGCGGCCCCACAGCCTGACAGCGTGTTCAGGGGACATTATGCCATCCGTCTCTGTGTCTGCATCAGAGCCCACGCTGACCGAATAGTCACGGTGAGGCAGCCCAATGTCGCTCCTGTACGTAGCCACATGCGATGGGAGGCCTTCTCCAAAGCCCAGGTCTCGCAAGGAGAAGTCAGCCCCTGCAGTAAGATGATGAAAAAGGAGCTTTGAGAATTAGAAGTTAAAGTCTCTCTGATCCAATTCTCTGCAGAAAAAAATGACTACAGAGAAATCAGTATCTTATCTCTAAAAAGCAAAATAGTTCATAAATCTAGTTTTATTCAGCAGTGAAAGAGTTAAGTATATGGTATTTATATCTTTAGCTTTTACAGGTCTTTTATAATAGCATATTTTTAAGTACTGCTTCTACTGAGTCATCTCCCATTCAAGGATTTAAAAAGATAATTTTCTCATTGACACGGTAACAGTTGTAATTAAGGTGACTTTACATACAACAAGAGGAAAGAAAGGCCAGTGGAACAGCTGCAGCTATTCAAAGAATTTTAAATAACTGTAAATGAATTAACAGTATGTATGTGTTTGTTGTTGAATGTAAAGCAATTGTACATTTTATATTAATTTTGTGCATGAAATAAACAGTGGCTTTTTAACAGAGCTGTGTACATCTGTATATGATGTATATTTTATAACAATCAAGCCATGCCAACTGTAGTATTCCATGACTCTTCATTGAAAAAAATATACAGTAGGAACGTTAACATAACAGTTACGAAACCAGTGATTTCATGTAATAGTAATTTGTATAAAGAGCTTGATCAAATGATAAAGAAGGAAATGTTCTGTTATTTTGGTCTAACCTTGCCGGTTAAATTCATCCACTTCATGGTGGACCATTTCCTTTACGCGGCTCCCATACGCCATCCTTGAGTCGTGGTCAAAGGCTTTGAGTGTTTCGCTGGAGCTGTAGGATTTAGAGTTGGGTTTACTGTCTTCACTATCTGCAGAGGAGCTGGTGTAGCGGCGTTCTGTTTCCTGCCGAGTTGTGAGTGAGCGATACGGTCTTCGTTCCTTCACCTCCATGGTTGCCTCCACTTTACTTTCAAAAGATAATGTGGGTTGCAATTCCTGTTTAGTTTGAGCGATTCTGTAGAAGAAAAGGACATGAAAAATATTTCGTTTAATATTTAGGTAGGTAGTGCCTTGCAGGACTAGTCACACCCTTGAACAAATTAATGGATAAAAACTCACATTTCACGAGGGATTTTGAAAAGACTACAAACTATTAACTAACAATTGTGAGAATGAAGGAAAATTAAACATGGTTTAAACTTGTACTAATAAAATAACCCAAATATTTCAAAAAAGTTTGAAATGTTCCATGGCATGTATTCAATTACCTTTACTCCTGATATCTCTAAAACAGAATTCAATTAACTAGGAGTAGGCAAATAATAGATTTTATCGATTCGTTGAGTTATTTTTTTATGAAGATATCATTGTTTAAAAATCTGTTTGTTCAGTTTAATCATCAGTTTATTGCTTTTTCTTTTTAGATGTGCACTCATAATAAATAAACTACAGTAGGTCAATGTGTAATAAAATTAGCTAGAAAACACTGTGTTCTATCTTGCTTGTTTTTTGTGAACTATGCATATTTAAAAAGCATTTTTCTAAGCTAGGATTTGTTGCCCTTTAATTTTATGCTTTTTTGAAAGCAATACATCTATTTTTTATTATGAAACTTAGGTGAGGAAATAAAAAAGTTATTGTTCTGATTTGGTAGAAAATATCTAATTGAAATAAAATGTTGCCCAGCTCTAAGATTAACTGTTTGCCTTTATAAAACACCTAATTCAAAGGATTCCGCCTTTGTGTAATTAAATCTCATTAGAAACGGTTCGGTATAGAGGTTTGTTAGAGAATATTAATGAATAAAAAGCATCACGATGACAAAAGAACAAAGAAAACAGATTAAACACAAAGTTACCAGAGTACCGTACTTCAGGAACAGGGTGGCCCCATTTTTTTACTACCATTGCTGCAATATATACACAGGAAGTCAGTCCCAGAATCGACGTCAGTCCCAACACAAATATATTGAATTCAGAATAAAATACACAGATCGTAGGTTAGGGTTTTTCATCTAATAGGTTTAGGTTTAGGTTTAGGTTTAGGGGTAGCCCTAAGGGGTGAGGATAAACTAAAGTTATTCAATTAGGATTTAGGATTTCTCCAACACCTCATTGGTTCTTACACTTTAGAGCAAAAATAATGATGATTAAGTAAAGAAAGAACAGTGTTAAAAATCTCTACTAATAGAATTCTAGGCTATTTGTTAAAAGCAAAGTAATTAGAGAAGAAATAATAACTCTAGATTACCTTGAAATTTGTAATAAAGAATCTAACAATACAGATTTAGAAACCAACGTCTGGTGTGCCTTTCTGTGATGAATTGTAAAAAAAGTGGCACCTGCCCCTGCAGTAAAGTGGCTTTCAACAGCTATGGAGAAGTGTACAGCAGGGATATGTTTAACAACAATATCAAAATCTTTAGATACGTTACAGAGTTAACATAATCAGAAGAAAACTGAAAGGGTATGGCACAACTGCAAAGGAGGTAGTACCTGGTAGAGCTGAGAACATGCAGGGGATTGGGGAGAGCAGGATAATTCAGAAGTGTAGGATAAATGGGACTATAGCCAACCTTCCTGGAGGTGGCTGCAGGAAGATCATTTATTACAAATCAAAGAAAGAGATAATGAAATGGTAAAAAAAAAAAAAAAGAGCACTGAAAAATTTAAACTTCAAGCTCTAGGAACATAGGTGTCAGATTGAACCTTCCGTCACTGTTTGTGCCAAAGTGGACTTAATGAGAGAACACCATAGGCGAAAAACAAATTATAGAAATGGCAGACTGCAATTTGCCAAACTACATGATGACAAACCATAAAGATATGAATTGATGAGACTCTTACCAAGGCATATCAGCGCTATGTACACAGATGGAAAGTGAAGCCCAAAAAGAGCACTATCCCTACTGTGAAACATGGAGGAGGATCTGTTATGTTTTGGGGCTGATCTTTAATATAAAAGGTTCAGTTAAAAAATTAAGGCTATTAAGGAATTTTAGAGAGAAATGGTCTGTCCAGTGTCAGAAAGCTTGGTGTCAGTCACAGTTCATGGGTTTTCAACTCAATAAAGACCCCAAACACGCAGCTAAAAATACCCAAGAATGGCTAAGAGGAAAATATTGGACTACAGTATACTGAAGTGGCTTTCTATGAGCTCTGATCTAAATCGAAAAAGCACCCTTTAAAAAATGGGGTAATCCTCATAATGGGCCAAATACCTTCTGAGAGGTGGAGAAGTCTCGTTGACAGTTATAGGAATCATTGATTGCCTCAAAAGGTTGTCCAACAAAATACGTTAAGGTTAAACATACACTTAAAAACTTAAGGCTAACGTCATTTTTGTCCAGGCCTGTAACATGAGTTGTTGTATTTTTTCTTAAATTTTAATAGTATTAAACTCATTATCACTTTTGTTATATTTAAATGAATCCTGTGACCATTGTGGGTTTTTCTATTAGTAAAAGAGGGGTACCAACAATTTTGTCCAAATGTGTATCAAGAACTACACAAAGAGGCAAGGCAAGGTAAGTTTATTTGTAAAGCATGTCCCTGTAGTAAAAGCATTAAAATATCATAATGTGATAAAACGCATATGTAAAACATGCATTTGCACAGTTTACTAGCAATACAGGTTTAATTTGGGGATCAGTTGTTCTTTAAATCCTGCAATGATAATATTGGTTGCATTTAAGCGCTTATACCCAATATTTTTACTCATATGACGTTTGTCATTAAAATAAGGTGTGGGTATCACAAAAGTTTCGATTTGGAGATGTGCAAAGCATGAAGAGAAATACCCCAAAAGACCTGCAGTTGTTAGTTAATGTGGATTAACTAAGTAGAGACTAAGAGTGGGAGTATACATTAGCAAACTTCTCGTTTGGTTTGTTTATAAGGAAAACTGCAAATCATTAACCTTGTTCCTACCCTTTCACAATTATGGAAAAATTTGTAATACAATGCACTGTGATTTTGGTCCTGTCACAAAATGAGCTATGAAGACTGTTTCGACAGTTTGATTGCAAAAATATATATAAAATAAACATCTTCTCTCGTCTCAGTATACATCCAAAATTGTGTTAACAGTAAATAACAATGAATTCCCTCTATGGAGACACAGACAAAGGTTAAAGCCACTTGTATAAGTCACTTCAGAAACACATAGTGTTTAATAAACATGCCTGTTTCCAGGTGGAGATTTTGCATGGCTCAGCCCACAGCAAAGAGCCCAGCCTTTCATCTAATAAAATCTGACACAACAAATCATGTACCCATAAAGTTTATGACACAACTATCCCACAAATATTGTATTTCACATGCGGCACAGAAAATGTGCAAGACAGTGGCAGGTGGACAAAGTGGCAGGTGTCCTTCCTTGAGTTGTGTTGTTTACGTGCTGCAAATCATCCCAAGCCTGAAAGCTGTGGAGCTAGACACATCCAGGGACCACTGTGAGCCAGCAGAGGTGATTAAAATCTGCATTGTAAAGCCCCAACTGCCACACAGCACACCCAGGATAAGATCAATAGGAGAGAGAGGAAATTTAAGTATTCAGCTATGCACCACTTTCTTTACATGCCTCCAAGGACAAAATACTGAAGTGAATATCAAAAAAATAAGAAGATGCTGTGTCAGTGAAACAGAATGAATCGATGGGTAATTGTACAGTAGTAAGTGATGGGGTCTTGCAAGCGGCTCATTTATAGTGACCAAGTGTTTTAAGACATTAAGTCAGATTAACAAATGCCAATGAGCAAATCAATTATATAAAAAGTTGGTGACTGTCTATTCAGTACCTAAGTATTAAATATGTCCAACACAGAGCAATCCATTAGGTATCATACATGTTTTTTTCAAGAAACAACTACAAACTTCAAGGTCTTTCATTGGGAATTTATGTGATAGATATAAAACAGAGTAGTGCATAACTATAAAGTGGAAGGAAAGAGGTGGATTGTTTTTTAAAAGGATTTGCAGTAAAAATCAGTAACATGAGGCTTACATTCGTATTCAGTGCTCTTTCCCCTGATACCCATAAAAAAAAACTACGCTTGAAATTTATTTTAAAAGGGCCTAGTCATGTAGGTTTTTTTTACTCATTTCAACACCAGCGGCTCTCTCTGGTTGCATATAAAGGCTTTCCAATTAAATTACAGCACCCACTTGTCTTATTATATTTAATTTCTGTGTTTTATACTTGACTTTTACTTTATTAAGCAGTAAACTGAGTACATTCTATACATATATAGTATAACAAGACCATGTGACAGGCGGTATGATAATGTCTATGCGCACATTGATTAAAAACGAGCTGTTGGAGCTCAAAGTGGAAAGTGAAAAAGTGCAAAACTATATTTGATGCAAGAGAGATGTGTCACTAGTAGTGCTCAGAATACACTATAAATATTGGTGTTCGCTGAAGCTGCAGAAGTATTCAGATTTCACTGCCAAGTTGATAGATGCTTGAGAAACTACTGTCGGCAGATGGTGCACCACCATGCTTATATCTGCTAATTGCACCCATTGAAAAAATCCTTCTCAGGTAAAAAAAAAGGGACTAAGTAAATATTATTAGGAGTAATGCTTATACTACATTTTTCCGTGAAGATAAATAAACTGTTATTTTGTGTGTTTTTACAGGCAAAATACGTAACTAGGCCCTTTAACAGTTATCTCATTATCCAACAGTCCACCTGTGTATAATTTGAAACTGAGTGTTTTGGCAAAGCTGTGTATGATTACAGTTTAGTTTTGTTTTTATATGTTTGTTTTTTTTTACCATTTTGAAGCAACTTCATGGTTAAATATTCATAAGTATTTCAGCATAGGGATTCTGCTTCCCAACTAGTAGACCCCTTTAAGGGAAAATGAGTTGTACCTCACTCAAGAAGAAAGAGAGATACAAACAAATCATGGCAAGTCTCATTCTTTTTACTGACAATATGCTGTACTGTTCAGATAAGGATGCCTCCCCCAAATGCTCTTTATGAACACTATATGAGGTTTGCA